GAAATAACATTCACTACTAAGACCTCATCAATTTTTGGGGAAGTTACTGGACTCTGCAAGCACACCTAATGATGCATTTGGTCAGGACAGCAACATTTTCATCACCTACTATATGGCACTGGTGAGTTTCCATCACATTTTCTGAAAGTTATTCTCACAGTAACAGCTTATTGTCAAGCTAAGACTACATTCACCGACTGCTATCCCTGCAGAAACATGGCAGGTTGGATCTTTGCTTAGCAGTTAAACAGGTATAAATTCAATCTGTAGATTCCCAGGCACTAGCATGAAACTAAATTAAGATTGTTCTGTAGCTTAATGATGACAAAAAAAATTCCATATATGGCAATCTTCTTGATAGTTTTTCATTGCTTGACTTACACATCTGGCCATAAATCAATCAAGTTGAGAATAGCTGTATTGTTTTGTGCCAGTGAACTTTAATAAGAAGGAAGCAAGGTCAGATCATTTCATTAACTTTGCCATTGGTACACAAGCAGCTGCGAGTGAAAGGAATGCCACAAAATGCAGTAATGTCATAGATAATGCACCAGAGAACCAAGTAAATAATGTCCTGAAATCAGATGCCATGTGTGAGAGGTCATGCACAGAATGTATGGTAAAGCCAACAACTGTTAGCAAGTCATGGTGAAAAAAATATTTCAATTGCTGAGTTAGCTAAACATTCTGCAAAACAAAGAAGACTATGAAAATGCTGCCTGTGGAAACAACATACACTACTCATACTAACCCAGGCTATGAAGTGCTGGAAAATGTAGACACTATTGCTATAAGGGCACAAGGGAAAGCAAATCAGATAAAGGACTAAACAAGACTGACTCCAGAAAAGCATGTAAGCTCTTGAATGGGCTAAGGATTTACTGAATTACATGAAGCAACAAAATGACATCTCTGATAAGCAGGCCAAGAATAACAAAGAAAAAAAAAGCCTTTCATACAAAACCAGATTCAAAGTGCATATCCAAGACATTAGACTCAACGTAGCAAAATCAAAATACACTAGACCACAGACATGAATATGGCCCCACAGAAGATATCATGGACATATTAAAAATAGCCTTAAAAGGCAAAATGCTTGATATTTTAGAAAAATTCCACATCTATAAAACTAGCAAAAAGCAAATCATAAAATGAGCAGTACACCCACGACTCCAATGTGTTATTTGACCTGGCAATTATCAGGAACAAAGTGTAATATCGTTTGCAACAGATGGCCACACTGGTTTGTCAGAATGATTAAAAACCCTGCACACTTTCAAAAAACTGACAGTAACACCCACACAACACTGAAGTTCACAGGCACAGACAACGCAGACACAGCTCACCATAGACCAACAACGGAAATCAGGCCAGTGGACATAAAGCAAAGTACTCAATTTAGATAATACGCCAACTCTTGTGCAATTAACATCCAGTGTATTACATAAAGTATGGTTTTGAAAAGTGCAACCTTTAATGCTTTATAACAAACCATCATCATATGAACTGTATGATTTAATATGAATTAATATGTTCGCCACTGATGACCTCTTGAGGTCAAAACGTGTTTGGCACCAAGTGTCTTTTCAAGTGTAAACAGTTTTGAAGATTTCTGTCTTCTGGGTTGTTGCGCTGTGTAGTCTGGCCGATGTTTACCAACGTTTTAGAAGTCATACTGCCTCTGTCATCAGGGCGATGCAGTATGACCTCTGAAACATTGGTAAACATCTACCAGACTACACAGCGCAACAACCCAGAAGACAGAAATCTTCATTTAATTCAGTTCACACCTTCACACCCATCTCTTTAAGACTTCGTGCAGAATACAAATTATGAAGATCTTCATTATGCATATTTCTCCATCTTCCCTCTTTTTTTCCCCCTTCTCTTATATTAAAATATTCTCTTCAGCGCCATATTTCCAAACACCCTCAATCTATATTCTTCCGAAAAATGAAAGAACAAGTTTCACGAAACAGTTGGTGAATTATGGTTTTGTTTTTAAATGTAATCCTGAAAATTCGTAGATAGCACATAGAAAGATAAAAATATTCTGAAATAAATGGTAGTGAACACTGAACAAAAAAATCTGTTCATATACACTAGATATGTGACACTGTTTAATGTGTTAGACATTTAAATTGGCCAATGAAAAATTCCAGGTTGACAACCAGAAAACGAAGCGCTAAAACAGTTCCAATAAATGATTGTCTATACAGAGACTATAAATCATGCCTGTTACTCTATACAGTTTATTGAAAATTGTTTTTGCATCAGCTTTATCATTTTCTGACAGTTGGATTTTAAATTGATACAGAGTATACAAATCGTTCAACGCGTCTTTATGATTTTCGTGTTTCAACTGTTTGTGCCAGGTCGTACTAGGCGGCGCTGTCTCTTTGTGGTTTTGTGAACGAAGCTAAGAATCGGATACAGTTCTTTGTTGGTCTCTGATGGTTACAGGATGCACTACATATATCTTTCTGAGATCAGCGTCCGGTAATCAATGAATGGGGCAGAGACGCAACGTATGGGCTACAGCGTGTTACCGGCTTAAGGGGTTTAGTCCAGTCCAGTCCCACTGTTTCTTAATTTATATTTTTCTCTATCGTGTCACCAAACAGTTTCTCGCAGAAGATTTCTGTCTTCTGGGTTTTTGCGCTGTGTAGTCTGGCCGATGTTTACCAACGTTTTAGAAGTCATACTGCCTCTGTCATCAGGGCGATGCAGTATGACCTCTGAAACATTGGTAAACATCTACCAGACTACACAGCGCAACAACCCAGAAGACAGAAATCTTCATACTCACTGCTGTGAAAACCTCAAATCTTACAGAGTAAACAGTTTTGTTTAAATGCATGATTTTATATATCAATACACTGCACAGTGTACAAGGTTTCAATTCTTTGATACAAAAGTATGACACTGAAGTGCATCAACTTTTACTTTCGTTTTCATATATGTTAATGAAAGTTGAGATGTGTAATTAATAAAAGTTACAGTACAATGTGGAAAACAAGTTTAAAGGACTACTTCACAGTAATAATTGACTTTAGGTTGAATTTAAATGCAGCATGGGTACTAAGCATTTCCAAGTTTTTGGATTAACTATTGTTTTTAATCTCATGTGCTATTTGGAAGGGAACTATCCATCAATGCTGATAGAATTCAATGTACAATTATGCTATACCATACTTGCTTCAACTATTAATTTAAAGAATATTTTAAATTATCTATAACTATAATGTCCAGAGAAGGATGTATCAGTGGTATAAGCTGAAATGAATCAGGCATGAGAAAAATATCAGTATCTTACACAAATTTAGTATGAAAGGGAGAGTACATACATAAATACAGTATTTGAAGTCGGCCCTCTGTTCATGTCGACGAGAGCCCTTGCATGTCTCAATTACCAATCTTTATACACAGGGTGGGTGGGAAGTAAGTAGGCATTGAGAAATGGTTATAACCTCTATATTTCCAATGTATAGCGATTATTTAATGCCTACTTACTTCCCACCCGCCCTGCACTTTTACCTTTGCACAGAAACCTGGTTTCAAAAATATTCCACAACATAATTATATTTACAGGAACATTTCATGTGGATGAAACTGGAGCAAAATCAGAAAGGATTATCCATTGTATTATATGCCTTTTATACTTTCACAGAATTCATCATCAAACTGACTTTATTCTCAAATATCTTCAGTAATTCATCATTAAACAACACTTTTAGGCATCAACCTCCCCAGCTTCCAACTTCTTCTTCCATGATTCTTTCTTCTGGGCAATCCTGTTCTTACGTTCAGATAAGCTCAACTTAGCCCTGTTCCATCTCTTCTTAACAATACCTGAGGTGTCTTTCTGCTTTTTAACTCGAGCTGGGTCAGCCCGAATGGTTTCATGTGCTTTTTTATATATACTCTCAATCTGTAAAATACAGGGATATAATGTAAAATATGGTATATTCCACAGGTTCAAGTATTTTTTCCATTTAAATTAAATGCAAGAAGGAACAGCAGAAAAAAGAAGGTAGTACTGTATACAAACAGAAAACATGAATTCTAATGGAAACAATCCAGACTTTGTTAATAATTCATGTCAAGGCCATGTACTCACATTATCTGCCTCAATGCCAAGTTTAATATAATTAGAAAACTGGCGCTTGTATGCTTCATCATCATTTTCTGCTAGCTGACGCATGTACTCAGCAACATGTTGACCAAGTATGTGCTTTCTGTGCACCTCTGCATTAAATTCTTTAGTCTCCGGATCATAACCAGGAAAGCGTTTGGTGCTGAAACACAATACTGCATCTAAGATTTAAAAAATTAATTTGGCAATGCAGCAAAGACAAAAAACTTCTATAAATTCATTATGTGGGCAACTCTATAAAAGGAAAATAAGTTAAGCTGGATAATGAAATGAGGTTCCATTAGCTAAATCATGATAATTTTGTCACACCTAAACCACTTTCAAAACAATTTTATTTTGTATCAAATATGTGCAATCAACAACGCATGAAATGTATCACTACTACTTACTTGAAATCAATTACATATCACGATTATCTTTGTCTATACTTTACAACAAACTGATACCCCTGTAATCAGAAAAAAACATTTTCTAAGACTTGATCACCAGAACCCATATTCTTTTGTTGAGATCAAACTACTGTACTTTCTAAAATATCCTGCATCTCCTACAAGACTGCAACCAAATATTGGTGTGCAGCTGATTTATGGAAGGATGGTAACACTATCCATTCCAGTGTGCCACCTTAACTTTTCCAACTTCCTTTTCATTTCAGGTACTAACGTGCCAAACCACAACCACACACACCCACAGCGTACAAACAGATGTTAATCTACGAGATACTGTGCATATGTTAGATTAAATGTAACAAAGATGTGCACTCATGAACTCTCATGATTGGAAACTACGCTGCTGGCAGAGAATACATTAATAAAAGTTATGCAAGAGGCTGGAGAAAGAAAAGATACAACACTGCATTGTAGTGTTAAAAGGCTTTTTGTAGCCAGAAGGCAAAATATCCTCTTTAAACAGACAGACTGGCCTGTGAATAAATGGGAAGCAGATGTTTGGGTGCATAGCATCACCTGAAATGTGGTAGTTAACTTCGCACTGACAAAAGAACACAGAATCCAAAATTTCAAGATCCAAAGACGAATGATGAGGTAACAAGAAAATCAGTGAAGAAGAGTAATGGTAAACATTATATACAATTATCTTTATCTCACACAATTCTCAGTTAGAGGAAGTAGGATTTGAATAATAAAACCGCGACATGACATTTCATGTTGAAGGATAATCAGATCCTGGAATATGTAAGACTTTAGCAAAAATAAATGAAGAATACCACATATAAATTTCAAAATACTTCATATTAAGTATACTTACATGTACATAAATGCACAAGGCTAATGAAAGCAATTCATCTTTTATTGACATTGTTTTTTTCTTCATAACCAAAATTAACTAGAAAGAACCAATCAGTCTGCCAAAACATCAAAGGCACTCTGTTGTTTCAAAAGCAAACACCACAGAACAAAGAACTTGTTAAATGATGCAGCTGATGTTAAACAGAAGCTCAGTCTCGTCATCATTTCATCATAATGGTTCTTGCCACTACATACATACAAAAATCAAATTATTCTTTCCCATGTATATAAAAATATACTGTTACAAACTTATATTCTGCCACCTACAATCTGCTTATGAACTGTGCCCAAGATTCAAACTTTACGCGGACCTGACAAAACGATGATCTGTAAATACACCATGAATTTCTTTCCTTTCAATAACCAACAGTATGCATGGGCCTTCTTGAAAGCTCACAAACAAGAACATTTCCCACTTTTGTAGACATGAAGGTTTATTAGAGAACACACAACACCTCACAACTGAGGCCTATCCTTAGCCAAGTAAATCCAGTAACATCCTCTCACCCTACGTATCTAAAACACAGTCAATTATTATCCTACCATCTACAGCAATTTCTCCCAAGTGGTATCTTCCTTTGAGATTTTTAGAATACAGTTTTGTATGTATTTCTCACCTCCACATCCATGTTGAATGTCAGACCCCTACAAGAACACAAATAAACTATGAAACTACTACTCTCATCACTGTGAAAAACCAATGTAACCATATACTTTTACCTATGAGGTATATTTAGGCCACCGTCAACAGCTCCTTTCATAGCACCGAAAACACGGGCACCTGTAGTAGTGCGCATTAGACCAACATCAAGATAGCATCGGAATGCAGCAGGGCCATCTTCCACAGCTTCTACATTGTACTCCTCACCTGTTACCTCAGTGCAGCCAAGGTATAATTTGTCTAGGCCTAGCTTCTTCAAGAGCTGTACCAAAGAAACAACAAACTTATGGAATTGTACATTGAACATGCAAGAAAATAATCTTCCTCCATTATCACAGGTTGTTCAGTATTAAAAAGCTCGTTCTCAAGTCAACAGCCACAATTTTTCTGTTGTACAGAAAATATCATCATTTCAACCTGTTAAATGAAGTAGCAATAAATGTCAAGTCACCATTTGAATGACAAGAAATCTATATTCTTTGTAAAAATTTCCATGGTGTATTCTTAGAATTAGAACTAAACAAAAAGTTTTCTGATTTTACATGCAAAAAAACCAAGTTTAGCATATTTATAGTTACAATTAATCTGTAATAAAAATACAGTATTTGTTGATAAATGTGGATAAAATATATAGTTAAGTAAAGCCAAGCAATAAAATAAGTAAACCTAAAAAAACGAAAGTAGTTTCTAGCAAGATCACTCCTCTACCTACATCACATCAAATCAAATAAAACATAGGCGGAATACTTTCACAAATTCTCAAGTCCGATATTGCACTGCATGTTTTCAAGAAAATCAGGTAAAAAATTAAACAAGGCCAAAGAAACACATAGCATGTTATAAATGCAACAGTGACAACAGCATATACATAATTTCTTTCCCTGCTTTCAGTAAAAATTAAACATTTATAATGTTCAAGCATACATCCAGAAATTCTGAACACAAATGTAAACTATTTGTTTGTTAGGGGAAAATGTTCAAGAGCATTACCATATAAAATAAACAAAATCGAGTTACAAACTGACTTACCCTACGGGCTAGCAGAAGACCTGTACAGTAAGCTGCAGCATAGTTCGTAAGCCCAACCTTTACTCCATAACGTGGCAGTTCATGACTATAAGCTGAACATAATATCATATCACCCTCTATACGTGAATATGCAACCTGCAAAAAGTTCATAAACCCTTCTATCATTCATAATACTAATATGTATCAAAGAAAATGGTGTTTTCATGTTTGGTTATAACTGGTATCTCAGCTGAGAAACTGCAGAATTATTCTTTTTAATTTCATAGTTTATTTAATGCTTTCTCAGTAACTCACACTATATGGCATCAAATGAGAGGATGATACTGAATAATGAAATGGAAAGGATGCGGAAGGAAGCAGTCACTGATGCACTGAAAATTAGGCTGCATAACACACAGGATATTCAAAGACAATGTGCAAACATATAGTACAACTCATGCTGGTAAAAAATCTGCTTTGCACTATTCACAACTGGTAAACTAGAAGTAATAATGGATGAAATATCACAGATCCAAATGAAATTACAGTTTCTGCAAACTACAAGGTCAAAGAGACAACAATTCACTCAATTACATAAACCAATACAATAAAGATTATTTATTGTATACGGAATCTGGAATCACACCAGTGCAAACTTCTCCCTTACCTGGCACGTGATATCCTTGTTCGAAAATCGAACTATAAGTCGATATTTGGGTGTGTTATATTTGTTCTTGTCTTGAATAGTAAGACGAAGACGTGCATAGTAGTCAGTCTTACCCTCACGGCGCCTTTTGAACTTCACTTGGAAGCGCTTGAAATACTGCTTATTCTTGACAACCTTCACGAAGCCCTGCAATATTATGTTCATTAACTACCAATAACATGTGCCCAACCACAAAATTGATATTCACTATGTTACTAAGCAATATGGGAAATCAAATTTGGTTAACCGAAGTTTAGAACCCCAACCTACAACTCTTCGAACGTAATAAATAAATTCTTCAATCCACCGTTACGTCTTTAAAAACCGCAGCCGACGAAAATTAAAATACATATTCCACACGCAATTAACGATGAAAGCAATGATTTTTTTACACTAAGCATCATCTTCTGATAAATATCGAATAAACAATAATCAATAAATAGTAACATTTAGGCGCTGTCACTTCTCAATTACAAGGTAAACGTGTATACGCTTACGCGTGCATTGTATATTTAACATATATAACAAAATCAGCCGCCATTTTCAATAGCAACACGTTGGCAAGCAACGTATCCTCAAATATCATTGAAATCCCAAGTACTGAAGTTCAAAATTCTGCAAATTTGCGTTCAATGCAATCAGAAACGCAAATAATTATCACTCTTTTTAAATTAACTCACCATCCTGGTTTAAAATCAAAATGTAAAGGTGCCCACAACCACTCACATACACGTAAAAACAGTCTTTTCTCAAAAGAACCTGCAAAGAAGAACATATCACGCGTGCGCACAACTACAACCCAATAACACAGATACTTTATCTGTGGTAAAGTATACTATCTCTGACATGTGCATACACCAACTACAGCGTCTATACTAACCTTATGAGAGCACTTCTACCATTTCACCTATTAAAAATTTCGCTTACAATCGTTTCATCTACATCACTCCATTATTTCGCCAACAGGTCATTTCACTCTTTTCTTCTATCCCACTTCAGAAATGTTGTATGGGTCAAAACTGTATCCTTGAATATTGTATCGCTCATTTTTTCCTTTGCATTTTATCTACATTTTTACATCGGACAAAACAAAATAATTACATTTTATCTAAATGCTCAAAGGATGTTTTATGTAAGGTATAATTATGCGAATACCATTCATTTGGATATGAATTTTTCATATGACTTACGAAATTAAAATAAAAATATATAATCTTACATTCTGTACTTTTACGTTTTAATAGGTTGGGATTGCGCTTTAGTTTGGGATTTAGGTTATCATGCCGATAAGTTTGGGTTTCAGTGTAACAATATTCCTATAAATTCCAGTATTTTCTAAAACTATCGTTCAACTCTCATAAAACTCTGAAGGGAAGACTACTTGAAAACCTAGACATAGATAGAATGACCACGGGTTTTACACAAACCAGTTGTTAGGTTATGAAGCGTCTATGAATAACGTCAGAAATAGAATTCAGTGGCGAGATCTTACGAGCACTGTAACGAACCGAATGACCACAGAAGAGGGGGAATTTGACTACCGTGGAATATTCAATAGAGTAAAGATTTATCGATATTTTATACTTTCATTAAATGGTGTTAGTGCTGCTACTATATCAAGAATTCACGTGCCTGAATGCAGATTACATGAAATAAAAAATATTTGCAATGTATACCTATGGAATTAAAAAAAAAAATTGTGATTTTATTCCTACTTGTTGCGTTCTGTCATGAAGGTTTAATTTAAAACGCTGAACTGCTATATTTCAAATTCCATAAAAATGTATTTTGACAGTAATAATTCTTGATTGGGTAAGGTACTTTGTTGTGCCTTCTGTTGTTATGGTAGTGAGAGGGGCACATCACTTTCTAGTCTTATGATGTTCATGCACTGGGAAATAAATAAATATAAAAAAACACATGCTCTTTTAGATACTAGGAAGGGCAGTGGCCTTGTACGTAAATGTTCTTGTCTCATTGCCAGACTGCTGGGCAAAATTACTGTACAGATCCTTCAGTATTTTACAATTGCATTCATGAAGAAAGTAAGGGCAGTTTAAATTTGGAAAGTGCTTACTACTGTTCAGTTCAGATCTTGTCTTCCTAGCTGCTGCACAAATATCTGAAGATTAAGCTTCATTAACATATAAAGCATGTCCATGAAAAGAAAGGCATCAATAGTACTTCACGAGTGACATGATAGGGTCTTGCCTTATCATCTGCAAAGGCCATGTACAGTCAAAAGGCAGGGTGATTGGACAATGGAGTAGGAAGGTTGCAGAAGGATGTAGTCTTGATTAATTGTTAAGGTATTACTTCAGCATTTACCTACATGAATCAAGAATAAAACCTCAGCCAGAATGGGTGACTTGTTGGCTCTGAATAAAACTATGGATTTCCAAAATATGAATTAATGCTCATTACTCAGCAACAACACTGCTATAAAATGTATATACAGATTCAGATAAATTTACAGTAAATACAATGGATTTATTAATTTGCTGGTGGCCACGTAACAATACATGCTGTAGGAAACATTACCACACTTATTATTATTAAAAATTAAGCTTGTTATGCCTTAGTTATATATTCAAGCAATTTTGTGTCATGACTTCCAGATCTGAGGCCATTCCCAGTCAGGAATGTCATGAAAAATTCTCATCAGTCACAGATCTATGGCTAAAAATTAAAAATTATGTGAGCGACAAAGAACTTATTATAAATATACTTCCCGCTGCGTTTCAGTTGACATGTGATGGAGTACATGAATGATTGGATGGTGGTGGTCTGGTGAATTGACCACTGTGGTCATCAGACCTCACACCAATGTATTTCCATGTATGATGTCACACAAAAAACATGGTGCACAAATGCAAAGTAAGATTGCTGTCTTCTGGGTTCTTGCGCCATATAGTCTGGAAGATGTCCACCGTTTCAGAGGTCATGCTGCCTCCGTCATCAGGCGCAACAACCCAGAAGACAGCAATCTTGAGACTCACTGCTATGAAAACCTCATATCTTACAAATGGAAAGTAAACAGAAGAAAGGAACTACACCACCAAATTTTTGACACTGCAAGATGCAGGAATAACCCTTATGTTCTACATAAGGTTGAAATATCTGTATCTTCATAACTATCAAGTATCAGACCTATGTTCACATGATATTTCTGACGGAATGACCTCAGGAATATGCTCCTGAGTACTGACATAGTCATCAGACATTCTGTATATGATATTAATTAACACCTATGACAACAGGACATTCCCACTTTCTTACTGCACCAAACAGCAGTGTTTTGACAGTAGGTTCTTGTGGTCCAAAACTATTCTGAAGCTGCTATTAAAAAGTTCACACATAACTAGAATAATTCCTATGTTAAAAAACACTATGTAAGTGCAATGGACTATACAAAATGCCTATGCATTATGGGGAAGTGTGATTCATTCCACTACATGCTGTACTGACTGTTCATAAAATAAACGTATGTTCTCACACAGCCTGTTGAATAAAACTGTCATATAACTGAAGGTTGAACATTTAGGACTCTACTGTACCCTTTAAAACCATATGGTAACTAAGTACCACCTACTTTAACAATCAATAACTCTGCATTTTGTATGATTCTCAGTAACTGTTTTCTTAAATGGCAATGGCAGTCATAATCTTATACTTTTTAAATTTAAATGTAAGTAGTGAAATTTGTGGAAACAAATTATTGTGCTGCATCCCAGCACATCTGTGCTGAGCAGTAAGGTGTAAGAGCAGGGATTTTCCACATAGTCAATTTCAATAGTTTAAGAGACACTTTACATCCATTACTCAAGTTAACAAAGAGCAATCTTATGACTACACACACAGGGAGGGAGACCATTCATCAGAGAGAAATATATATACTACCACCATGCCCAGTTTCAGGTGGCAACAGCTACCCTTGTCGGGTTCAAAGTCCCAAGTGCTACCCTAACGCAATCACTCTGATCTACGTGAATCATAATGCTGCATGGGAAAACAGCTAGGCTGATGTCTATTGCACGAAGTCCATAATTCCAACCTTCCATGCACAGGCCTCCTCAAAAATACTCTAAGGAACATAACTTGCACAAAACACACCATCCCACAGATCTACCACTTGGAGAAGTGTTGAATGCTAATTTCATTATTGGCTTAAACACAACCAACTAACACATTTTAATTAACAATGAAGGGGTTAATATATAGCATTTACATTTCATATACTAACGTGGTCCTGCACAGCTGATGATGATTAAAATACTACCCAGTAATTATATGAAATGATGGAGGGAAACCACTGAAAAAATTAAACGGGCATGCTAAGCACTACTACATAATATACATTATTTTTTACCAGTTACTCTTACATCATTATGAAAAATTATATCACTATTTTTGACCTACCTGGTGATAAGGCTTTACAATGCATCATGTACTGTTCACATCTCCCCATTCTTCAAGATCGTCCCCCCAACCTTCTTCACCATCATATGAAGTATAGTTCACATTAAAAATATGTTTACCTGATTTTTCAATAGCATCACTACTACCTGCTCCTTGTTCATCAATCTGCAAGGTACATGTTTTCAAAATCACTGGTTCCATGTCCTGAAAAAAATCAAACTCATCTTCACCCTTCAGGCTGCTGACAGAATTCCTGATGTCCAGCTGGGAGATGTCAGGTAGTTCTTGCATTGTCGATGGTGCAGCAACCTTGCTACAATCCTGAATTCTTGAAGGTCCAGCAGCATCAAAGTCAACCAAAGTATCCACCTGGAAAAGTAAATTAATGTGAATTAATTTGTGTTCATACCAGGTCATAAACTCACATAAATATGACTCCCACTTGTTTTCTCTGCATAAAGCATTCCTAAAACTGTATCTACAACAACAAAAATAGCAGCCAAAACAGAATAACTTACAGTATTGTCAGGAACATCCCAGTCTGGCCAGGATTCTGTTTCATCATGTGAAGTAGGCATGTGATCTTCTCCACCATCAGGAGAAGGCCGTTCAGGCAGATCAGCAGCAAATGAGTTACCGTCAGTGTCAACAACTGGGGCTGGTGCTGGAGTTGGAAGCACTTTACTGTGTGATTTCGGTGTCCTCAAGTTATAGGGACCATTATGGCAAGCCTGCTGGAAGCATCATGTTGAATATAACTCTCATTACCAAACCTGATGTTACAAGTCATGCCAAGAATTTCCATACTGTTTAATAAGAAGTGAATAATATAAAGCTAAGCAGTGCTGCAAATTTGTTTTGCATAATTCTACCATTTCTTGGCACATATATGAATTACACGCAATATAAAACCAGGCACATAGCATCAGCAGTGTCAGGTCAGTTGTAGATCTTGTAGAAACTGCACCATGTTGTAATGAATTTTTTATCTCGTGAGTTTACAATTTGGAGTGTCAAGAACAACTATCTGTAAACATGCCAATCCAAACAACTGGTCATATAAAATCACATTTGTTTTCATCAGTGACCATGAAACACAATAATCTAAACACATGTTAATTCATGCAGCAGGTAAATCAATTAAAATTATCATTAATGACAATAATTATTACTGAAATTAAATAAAAAGTATGATAAAGGCTGTAAACAATTTGGATACAAAGTCAGCTAACCTTAGGACGGCCATCAGTAAATAGCTTCGCACGTTTGCCACCAATGACAGCAGAAGCACCAAGCAGTGGAATCAGGTCAGCAAGTGCATGAAGAGTGACACTTACCAACTGTTCATTTGTATCTTTAATCCCCACCAAAAGCTATAAATAAAATCAAACAATAACATTCAGTACAATGACGAAACTGTTCACATGCATTTCCTTGGTGAAATGGCATGCATTAACACTAATTTAAATTTTGTTTGGAGAAAGAAGATGAGTAAGGAATTGCTGCAGCATTTAGCAAAGCTTGGATACTGATATCAACTGTATTTTCTGAATGTTTGGAACATAGCAAATAATAACTTAAACAATATTGTGTTTATTGTTGTCATATGAATGCTGATAAATAATTTATAATGACTGTACTATTCCATATGACCAGTAAGTAAAGAAAGTAGTCAGGGGTTGGATAACCAAGTTTTGCTTTCCAGCAGGACTGGGCATTTTGTCACCACATACAGACCAGTTGACAGTGCAAATGAAAACATATCCTTGCAGGTGCAGAAACAGAGGGATAATTTGGAAAGTCATTTAAAAATGTAACCCCAAGTGTAACACTGCTCAGGCACTTGAAGAATGGGTCATTCCCAGTATATACATTTATACCTACTCACAACCACTTGTTAACATTCTGATAGACTGACGCCATAATGCCTGTTATGTGTAACTTACCTCAGGCAACACCAGGGTACGCAACTGATCCTCAGTGAAGGAATGGCAGAATGATGAAAAATGTGCAAGCAACAGCAGACGGATCTGTGCATCACGCACACAAAACATCTGCAGTAAACGTGGCACAACATAGTCCCTGTAGGTGGTCAATGAGAACAGACCTACATTTCCTCTGTTCTCTGAAAAAGCATACACAGAAGATATACATCAGTTATTAACATTTACAGACCAAGGGCAAAATTCACACTCACAGGCTAAAAGATTATAAATGAGGCCAATTTATTAAAGATGATAGCTTTTCCAACGGACAAACTAGGTTGTATTGTTTTATGCAGCAAAGGAAGCAGAGACAGCTTCCAGCATGTTGCATACTTTTAAAGAAATTTAATTTTAAATTAGCAAATAAAGGAAAATGGCCAACAACATACATCAGTCATACATGTATCACTCAATAACTTTCTTTAATAAAATCAATCACTGGTTTCAAGGCAACTGTGCTGCTTTTTCTTGAGCATCTTTTAATATCTGGTTTCATCTGCATTACTCCAAGTGAATTTTATGCTTCTACACAGTGTTGATTCCTAGGCAGGTCAACATCTGAAGTGTATCTGGAATAAATGATAAATGCCATTGAGGGATACAAAGAATGCATTAGGAAAATTTGTATTCAAAACTGGAGTATAGCCATGGGCAAACTACTTGGCGCAAGTGACCATTATGGCTAGCTCATAAAGGACATGATGGAAGTCTTGGCTGCACCTTGCCAAAAATATTTATATCTGGTTTCAGTTCTGGACAGGAGTTCAAGTCATGCAGTTGAGTCCACAAACCAATGCATTTTCAATTACTAGTATAATCACCATCTACTTCCAAGTATTGTGCCAGTCACCCACATGCCAAGCTGCCTGCTGATACCACTACACAAATCCATCTTGTTTGATCTGCCAACTCTGGAAAATAATACATAACCACGAGGAATGTAAAATCACTCAACTCCATCATGGTCTTACCCATATTCTGCTTAGGACCAAGGACACATGGTAGCAGGATCTCCTGTGCAGTGGCATCTAACAAAACCATCCTTGACAGTAAAAGAGCTCCTAGTTGCATGGCCACCAAATTCTCTGGGAATCCAGTTAATTCATCCATTAATGACCTGCCAACAAACAGTTCTGCATCACCATACCACAATAGCAGATCACCTTTTTTCAGACAGTTATCTTATGAGTTGTAATGCAATGTAGTTTCCTGGGTGCATACCATTTTCACTGAGGTTAAGTAAGGATCAGGCCAGAAAGTTTGGTCAATTGCAAATTTGTACCAAATGGAACAAGAAACAAGTACCTTCTTCAGGGCAAGGAAACAGTACCTCTTGCTCTCAGACAACTTTTTTTCTTCCCATGAACGATAATGTAATGTCCACCAATCTTAACAGTAACAGCGCTAAGAATTATAGCAGACCGGGCCACTGCTGTAAATCATTTGTAATGGGTGTCATTACCAAACAAATTTAATATAAACACACTTTCCTTTGGATTATGGCAGCATGTGCAGAATTCTTATGTTAGAAGTATCTTTCTATATGCCAAAGCTACTAAAATTGACCCTTTGGTCAATTGCTCAGCTTATGCAATTAACCTGGGTAGGAAGATCAGGCCTAAGTGACATTCATATTTGCACAGAAGAAATCAGTAAAATCCTGACAAATATCTTTTAAACTACTTACTATAATGTAATGATAAATGTTCTTGGATTTAGGGATAATTTGCCTGTGATATTCTATGACATGTATTGAGTGATCAGGCCTACAATAACCTTACAGGCAAGAAAGTCTGTTAAGAAATGTAAGCATTTGTCAAATTTCCCCTAGTGGTAAATTAATTCGTCTTAAGGTACATAAATGAGACTGCAAGAACAAAACAACCAGAACAGATACTGAGAAGTCAAGCACCAAAGTTTCTTTAAAACAGAAGGTTTTACTACAATTATATCAATCACAAATTGTTAGGGTACTACTGAGATGTTACACAAATTTCCCATAACAACACTTCATTTCAGACCAAACTAAAATTGACTATTTAATTCAGAACAGCATCAACTTAATAGTTTAAAAATATGTTCTATTTACAACATACAAACCTGAAGAAATTATTTTTCTCTACTTCAGTCTTAAGTGGCAGTTCGACCAAGAAACTGTGAATTTTTATAAACTTATGTTTGAAGCAAACATGGTCTAATAGGGATGCTAGCTTAGGACGTAAAGATGGTTCCAAATTTTGAAGATGTTTCTTGCAAATCCCAAGGAATTCCTCAAGAGCTGGGACATCACCTTCAACACAAAGAAAACATGAAAATCTCACTGACATTACATGCACATATGGTCCATTTAATAACAAAGTATAAATTATGTAATCAAAATCAGACCTACATAATCAATCACTTGAACAGAGGTAAATTCTGTGTTTCATTTCTCTATCTTCCTTTCATTCAGAGAAAGAAAACTCTGGGCTCAGGCACAATGTATTTAACATTTTCTATCACTTACTATTAACAAACTTCATAATGCAAAGTTCTTAAGAAGCTAAGTAAGCTAGTCAAGAAATATGGAACAAAAAATTTCATCATAACTCTCACAACAGCCCACTGCTGGTCCCTATTCTGGACCATCTAGCATCAACTGTCTATAACGAAAATAAAAATAATTTATGACTCAAAATCATTACCCCAGAGAACACTAACTGGAATTTCATGGAATTAATGATCATGACATAACAGCTATGTAACACAGAGGAAAATTCTGCTGCTACATTTAACCTCTACAGCTTTTCTGGAAGCTATCCATTCAGGCACAATTACTCAAATGTCTCAATGTGTACTATTTATTCACAATGTATTATAGCCCTGAGATAGACCATCCATTTATCCAGCTATGTAGTTAACTGATTAATGCAAGTTTAACATCTACATACTCATTAAATGATCTGACAAGGTGAGACACTGGATAAAGGCAGAGACACTGTTGGGTAAGAAAGAAAAATGGCCTGCCACAGTGTTAGATTTGGTACAGCATAATGTGTACCGACTTCAAAATTTGACTTAGTGTATTTAAAAGGATCCTGTTATTCTAGTCTTCAGATAAGTTAAGTGATATATCAAGATTCAATTGTGCTGTCTGAATATAAAAAAATTCAACACCAAATCACCATACTTAAAGTTTGCTGGAGAAATTTAATACAAATGAAATGTGCTTATTTTTCATTCCATTCAAATAAAATGTGGTTCCTTTATCCAAACATGTACTTACAGATAAAAAGACTAAAATCACAGAAAGAAAGCAAATTTCTCACTTTTTTACACACTTTCTAATTTCTGGCCAGATAGAGTTCAGACTTGGACAGAAATACCAAATTATACTTAAAAATTTTCTGATCTGTAGAGTTGGTATGTTGTTATGAAAGAAAACACCTTTCAATGAAAATTGTACAGACATTACAGATTAAAAGGCATACACTTTTCAGAATTCAAAGGGATAATCGTACTGTCAAACTTGTTGCATAACATTTCTTCCGCAAACACTCCAAATCCATACTGATCAATTGATGTTGGATGTGATATTGTATAATTTGATGACTTCAAAGAATCCTCTTCTGGTGGAATGGCTTTCTCATAACGTCGGGCTCTCGTCCCTTCTAAATAACTTGTTGTTAAATCTGTAAATCTGAAAAATTATAAGCTACATTTAATGGACCAGTAAAATACTGTACACACTATTAAATAAGTAAGCTTTCCAACCAATGTCATGTAAGGCATCTTGTAGAGTTTATTTCATGCACAAGCTGTACATGTGCTTAAAAACAAGGGACCCTAAAATAAATAAAACAAATGTCTTTACATCTCATCAGAGAAAATGATACTTTAAAATTCTAAAAAAAAACCATGTCTGTTAAACTGACATGGAAAGCCCTACTGCACAAGTCAAAACATTAGATAGGTTTCATCATAATGTGGGCATTCCAACAGGAGATGTAAAACTGTACGTGGATCACTACAGGTAACATACAGGTGCCAGCTCCCCATGCAGCAATTGCCATGTGTCAGGAGCATGTGACTGATCTAGAGCATCATTTCCTCCTTCCTGACAGCACTTAATAGTAATGGTAGAAGTGGAAGTGACAACAATAACAGTTTTTAATTGAATAATAATGATTAACTTAATTTATTCTTACCCTAGTTACTTATTTTTAGGTAATGCTGATCCCATCCCATATATTTTATCTTTAAAAATTTTGATACCACAATAAACAAATATTAAAAACTTTTTCATTTAATCAAAAATGGAAAATCAAGAAACTCACGTACAAGCAGAGATGCTCCAATCCTCCCAGTTTCCAAGTGCCATCAGTGGAAACATATATTGCAGCACAGCACACATTGTTGTGGGAGCATAATGCCTGACAAGGAAACAATATGTTCACTTTATAGAGTAATCCTTTTGCAGAAACAAATATTCACTTGAATGATCAAAATTCCTCACCTCCATTGAGTGAAAAACAATGTGAAGCTTTGCAGGATTTGAGGTTCTCATGGCATTATTAAGATGGTTGTCTTCTGGGTTGTAGCATCATGTAATCAGGGCAATGATGGAGGAAGCAACAACCTCTGAAATGTTGATAGACTTCTAGCCGACTATATGGTGCTACAACCCAGAACACATTTATCTTCTTGGTATGAAGATTTGCTTTCACTCCATCTTATCCCTTCAAATTATGGTGCTTAGGTAACTTCATATGAAAGTTGTATTAAATTATAAACATGAACTAAGAAACACAACTAGGTGTACTGACTTATTTACAGTTATATCAAAACATCAAGGTTATAAATTACTGAGTAGAAGTGGTGATACTGTATAGGTTCTTATAAGGAAATATAATTAAACCTTACAAAATCCTAACAGAATAGAGCACTAGGATTGAACAAATAACTTGGCTGTTGCACAGTGAATGCCCCATACAATAACCTGTACTTTAACTATTCAGTGCTAACCGTCTCATGAAGGAAAACAAGTGCTTTTAGTACACTGTGAAGCCCAATGCAAATCTGTAGAGGTATCAAGCTTGAAATAACTGATGCCAGTGGTTTCGCCTCTTCTGTTGCAAGATGGATTCTTCCACTCTTCTTCCATGAGGATATGAACTTGAGGATACATGGATGTCGATACAGCATCAAATTCTAACAAGAAAATAAACACATCTATGTTTAACCACCCTAATATTTATGTCGGTATCACTATGATAACTTATAAGAAACTTGTAGTTACTCTTCTTTTTGCAGTATCCTTACCTTTGCTGCACGTTCTAAAATTGCTGCATTTCCTCCACTACCTACAAACACATCACTTATGAAAACATTAACATTTGTGTTATGGCTTGCACAGACAGTTCCAGAATGAAGTGTCCAACCATCAGTCACTTCAACAATTTTTTCGTCAATTTCCAACCCTGACAACTGGCTTCCCTCATTGCCCATCATACCCTAATATTGCAAAAAGTAAATAAATATTTGATATTATAGGGCTAATTTCTCATCATTGTTCTTATAAGCTTTTTCATACCATTCACATAATTGCTATACATCACGGATTGAAAATACGTACTAATACTAGGTTAGTCGTCTGTGACATGTAGATACGTCAACAAACAAAGCGGTACAGCACTGTTATTACGCTGAAGAAAATATCATGAACGCTAAAGATTCAAATATGCATGATAATGTGTAACATTTCAGTTCTCTGTAAAACCAGCTCTGAACGCATTTACACATACATAATTGTACAAACAGATGTTCCATGTTTTTATTCCCTTTCTGGAAACTTTTCATAGGTGGCAGCAGGATTAAGAAATGCGATGGCCTATAAGCAGGTTATCTATGCCACATATACAGCTGATCCTATTAAGCCGTAGATACGTTATGATTTCACGACTGCGAGAGGGAGTTTAGTATTCTGGCCCAATGATTGAGATTAAATCATTCTAACGGACCCCACAGTATAAATGTCCTCTTCTACATTCACTACATCTAAAGATAAGGGCAGATCACTGAATCGAAACGGTGTGTATTTTATAACAAGATTAAAATATACAAAGCAATTTTACCTGTTGTTTTATATGGGTGCGAAACATTGTCTCTCACTCTGAGGGAGAAACACAGATTGCAGATGTTTGAGAACAAGGTGTTGAGGATATTTGGGTCTAGGAGACGAGACAATGGGGTATGGAGACAACTGTATAATGATGATCTTAAAATTTGTACTCCTCTCCCAATATTGTCAGGGTGATTTATGTCAAGAAAAATAAGATGGATGGGGCAAGAGGTGTGGACTGGGTACTGGTTGGGAAGCCTGGGGAGAAGAGACCCCAGTGGAGACCTAGATGTAGATAGGATAATCTCAGGTGGGATCTATGGTAAACTGGAGTTGAAGGACACTGGATTTTGTTGGCCTAGAACAGGGTCCAGTGGAGGGCATCAGTTAATTCAGTGATGAACCTTTGGATTCTGTAAGCCATCTAGTTAGTGTATTTTATAACACCAGGTGATAGACAAGGCCCAAAAACCCAACAATTCAGTCTGCTGATGTCCCCAACTTATTCAGCTGGGTCCATTCGAAAACAATCTTAAATTCCTGAATCAGACATTAGTTTGTAACATTTTTAACTGAGAACAGATGCAGAGCCAGCTTTGAAACAGTTCTTAACTAATAAATGAGGGAAAATGTCAAACACTGTGCATCAGTTTAATATTTTACTCTTATTCTCCTAAGATGTTTCCACTTTAAAATATTGGAATGCATGTTGGTTATTGATATTTAAATGACCAAGGTCTTTGGGTGGGAACAATATGAAGTCAGAAAAGGATAAAAGAACAAAAAGTAATTATAGCACAGGTTTATAATTATAATGTATGTTTACATATCTGTACATTTTTCTTACAAATAGATATAAAATTATTTCCATTTCTGTATTACATTTATATGTGACACATGCACACAACATACCCATAATTCTCACACATTCCAAAGAACACAGTGCTCACAACAGACTTTTGTCAAGATTTTGAAAAGGTTTCTCATCATGTAAAAGCAGATGTGATTTGTATTAAGTGCATTTAAAATGTATCTGATTCTGTAAAAAAACATATTTTTGATTAAATTTACAGGAAGGGCCATATGTTAAAACAATTCAGACAAATTAAAAAAATCAGAGTTCTGTCAAAATAGATCACTTCATGTTAACACTATGGAAGGATTTTAATTACATAAAAATTTGACTAGACATATTTTTAACAGATTGTAATACCTGCTCTTACATGGCAAGAAGTTTCTTCAAAACTTTAAGGAAGGCATATAATGAGTATGATACTGCACAGCATAGAAGTAACTATGCATTGGCAACATGCTACATTCATAGGATCACTGCAAAAGTAGCCACTTGTATGTTCTACAGTGTCACAGAATCAGCAAAGACTTGACCAATTATAATTTGTTGCCAAATTAATGGCAACATGTACTGTGACATAAGAATGGCTCCTTCAACTTTGAAAATTCCGAGAAACAATGCTGTGAACTCTGAAGGAAGCCTCATATAAAATGAAAATAATGTAGAATGTCACAAAGAAATTATGGTGATACAATAACAAAATACAACTTACAATCTGAATATTTATTACAGTAACAATATAGCAAAAAGTGATTAAAAGAATGAAGTACAGCCTCAGACACTTGACCAAATGACACTAAATGAAGGACTAGTAATGAAGAGATATGTAACCAAAATTAAAACTTTATATCAACATTCTTGCATAACTTAGGTTTGAATGCCGCTGAGGGTAATAAAAACAGTGTGCCTTGTAGTAGAGTGCTGGATGACCTTCAAGATGAGAATGCAAAAAAATGTGCACGTGCCTTTTGAACAAACATAAAGACTGGTGTATAGCAAGTGAATAAAGTTTCTTACACTGCCATGTCTGGACCTGTGGGTAAGAAAGAGAGAAGAAAAGGCGGGGAAAGACAACTATTTATTCCCACATTATGCAATTTAATTCAATATGTAGCCTCACTTCATCATCAGCATTACCAATTATAGAACTGTGACAAGGACTACTGCTTAACTGCAGTAGATGAGTATTACTGTATCAGTATTACAATATTTTAGAATTCTGGTAAAGAATTTGTATTTCACAAACATGTAGGAAAATTACAATAATTCAAAATGAATTAATGGAGATAAATATACACAGCTCACTCCCACTGAGATAGATAAATCTACTGACTTCTTTTAAAAAAGAGGAAAAAATCCAATCAATGGAATTTCACAACACTTATTATTAATAAACTTTTCTCCATTTAGTAACAGGGAAAATTTCCCACATGAATTAACATGAAAACTCTTGAATTCTTTTAGCAGTTTACATTAAATACAATAACAAGTCATTTGTTCCATATTTTATGACAGCATGGAACATGCACATATATGTAGAGATGCAGAGATAATTGCTTTCATAAACAAATTTTGATACATAAAATATTAGAATATATATTACGGTTCTCTCTCCACTCTATTAATTCCATTTAAAAAGCGACATCAAGAAACAGACATTATGTCCCAGTGTTAAAGAGTCTCTACTGTGTGTAATGTATTAACAAATATGAAGTACTACTCAACTACTCAATTTTGTTCATGTGCTCACAGTTTATTTTTGTAAAGCTTTCACTTTAATATCAAAATAATTACAACACCAGAGGCATAGCCAATACCACAGACAAACTATGTAACTGGTTCAGGTAAGGTATTCTTTAAAATGATTATTATATCTTAAAAGCATACTTATTCCACATGTATTTGTAATCTCAATTTGTCAGCACCATTCATCCTGCATTTCTCCTCATCTTAAGATAAGATAAACTAGCTACTACAGCACTAAGAAAAAAACTCCAGTAATGAGGTGCAGAATGAACGAAGTGAAACCACCACAAAACAGGAAAACAATGAAGTGGTTCCAATAATTTTTGGACGTTCTTTTGATTGCATTATTTAAAATTTAACATCCTATTTACTTTATAATTACAATTTTTATAAACAATTATAAACTGATTTTGTAATTTCTGTTTCCACCTTCAAGTCAATTCGTCAACTCTGACATTGGACCTGCCAATCTATGTAGTGAGAAGTAATTCAATTCACAGGCAACTAACTAGTCAGTACACATTACATGAAAAAGTAGAGTTTTACCAGGTACCTTACAAATATCTAGACACAGATGTATCAACAGTGAATTGATGAGGATGATCCTCCTGTAAAAATATTTATTATGACATTTTAATGTCTCAAGATATGTAACTTGCTATGTTATGATTCCAAACTCCTTAAAACAAGTGTCTCTAAGGGCTACATAGGAAATTATTTTCTCATACACTTATGTCAACGCAAATACAATAAAAGCATTTTCTTTTTGGTGAATGAAACAACTGTCATCACTGAATGGTTTAACATGCAACACTTTTATTCTCCAAAAACAGTTCTATTGACGGAATCAAAATGGTTATTTGAGGCATAGTAAATCCACAATTTGTCATCTGTGTAACCCAACATTTTTTATTAATAAAATACAATGAAACTGACTGTTAGATCAATAAAACAATAGTGTCACAGGGGTAGTGCATACCTACCTCCTGAGAGGAAAGAGAATTATTCAAGAACTGAAGTTTATCACAGATAAACTACCAAAGTGCACTTCAATTCTGAAAGAAACCAACATGTATGTAAATGCTAGGGGGGATACAATACAGTATCTACCAAATAAGGTACATGAACTATTTAAACATCTGATTTTCAGCACTGATGACTGAACAAAATTAGGATTCTTGTAAATTCTCTTTGCTAACCAGAATGATAGTGCATAAGTTGTAACACTAGTAACAATCCATCCAGAAACACATATAGGAAGGACACCCAATTAGTAACTGTAAACATCCACCATGTCATGTGAAATATTATGTAACAGTAGCTTACAGTTACCTGCCCTTCTTTAAATACACTGCAAAATTACTACAGTCATTTATCAAAGTCCTGGCAATCTACTAACTGGTTATCCCTATCATATATGTGTGTGTTGACTAGTGTGAATAGGTTAAGCAATCATGGAAAGCCATCTTAATCACATGAAGTTTTAAACAAGTCTACAGCACTACTATAGTAGAATCTGATCACTGAAATATCCATACAATACAGCAACAGAAACACACCATGCGTAATCCACATGAACACCAGCTTGACTGAATAACCACCCTTAATGCATCATGCCCACTAACAGTGACCGTATTATTTGCACCAACAAAGTAGCAAAGATTTGCCAATAAAGAAAATAAGTTATTAAAGAGCAGTTTACCTGTGGTGGCCTGGGAGACAAATGTGGACAAAGCCTTAGCTCTTCACCTGTTAGAAGTTTTTGAAGAGGGGCTTGGAGAACTGGATAATAAAATGAATGAAATGTTTAGACCATGATTGGGTCTTCATCACAGTCCACTTCAATTGGAGGATACAGAGACACTACACTGTTGTCAGATGAGGATTGTCTTTTGAGTCGAACTGGGGCACTGGACTGGTGCAACACCTTGCTATTGAAATCTGCACTACTTGATTCACCATCTCCACCAGACATGGAACGAGATACAACTGACTTCTGTCCTGGTGTTCCTCGTGCCCTGCGACCATGGTGTCCTGCCATAAGAAATAAGTAAATGCAAAATGTAATTATTAACTCTCACTGTGTGTGCGCGCGCGTGTATATATATATATATTAGTCCGAGACCTAGTCATCTTATCTTCACATCTAATAAAGTCAAAACTTTATGACTGGGGATAGCAGAAAGGGGACAGTAGGCCTCCAGTATGGTTAAACTGCATGTGAAGACTTACGTTCCTGCTCACCTTCCTCCAGGTGACTTGTCACATCATCTAAACTTCCATCATCAATATCAGTCGACAAAAGGTCATCATCAGAAGTTGTCCTAGTGAGGCTGGGCAAGGCTGATGTCAATAAAGCTTTTTCCTTCTGAATCTCCTGAATATGACCCATTAATAGTGCCTCTTCATCATCCGGATTCAATAAAGCAGGTTTTGGATCACTGTTTGAGATGTCAACAGGCAGAAGCTCCTCTGGGCTAAATACCTGAACAGAAAAAATGAGAAATTTGATGGCTGGGAAATCGTTACACAAGAAGCTTAAGCAGTCATTATAACAGATACAGTTAAAACCACCAAGAACCCAAATGATTGGGATACTGTATGTAAACTTTAGCATGTGCATAGAAATGCTTTGTATCTCATCAGGCCAGGCCCTTGATCTCCTATCTCATATTACGATATTTACTAAAAAGATGTTTGTATGATCTAGGTTTTCCTTACAGTTCTCAAATCGCACTACAGTCTAACTACTGCAGAGTCATTCAATATCCAATTTCCGTACCACCAAAATATATATATTACTCTACCAACCAAAGACTATTCTATGAAAATATACTTAAAGTTTGCAAAAGGACCATATGCAAAATGTCCCCGAGTTACAGAAGAAATATATCTTACAAAGATAAAAAGTTATTTTTTCCAAGGAAAAGTGCTGAAATGGCAATGTATATAAATATGGAATCAAACAGTTTCTTTCTGATCTTTGCAATGCAGAAGCAAGCAACAAACCAGTTAACTCTTTCACCACTGGAATGGAACACTCATGGTATGATACAATACACATACAAAGGATCTATCTCTTCTAAAAAAAATTTAAAAAGTTTAGGAGTACAACAACGGTTTTATATAAATCATAATCATCATCATCAAATACTACAAGAATATTGACCCATTCTGGGACAGTTGCTCAAGGCAACTTGTCCTTATTAGTCTTGCAGGGTGCATCTGAGTAGTGAAAGACAAGCCCACTGCCTCTGAACAATTTCTACTCAATCCTGATATGTTCACTAGAGCCATTTAATAGAGAATCAGGAGAGACATGGGTGAGAAATGGCTGCAGAATTTTGCTTACAAAACATCTCGTATCATGCTCGCAAGGTTCTTTTACATGCCATAAATCTATGACATGGGACCGCCAGCTTTATTTCCCCTCTGCAGGAATTTGTGCTATGGATTTTTATCACCCTTAAAAATCCATTGACCTCGGCCGGGTCTGAACCCACGAACCTTCAGCCCAGTGGCAAGCACGCTAACCACTAGTCCACCAAGGGCAAATCAATTAATTTATATAATTAATGTATACAATTTAATACAAAAAAATTATGGCTTACAGTTTAATTTTATTAACTTCATAAATAACAGGATTTAAAATGTTCATATCATCTTCAAGTAACAATTACATCAAGAAAAGCAAGCACACAACTATGGTCTGATTATATCATGATTTTTCTGCAGTAACACAATCATAACTGGCTATGAAGTATAAGGAATACCATTTATAAGCAAAGTGTCTGCTGTAAAAACATGGTACTACTGGTTAGTTATAATTTAATTTTCAAACTAATTTGAAATAATACTTTATTAAATCTAAAAACTTGTTTCACACTGTTACATACCATTTGTGAAACACTTTTCAGTCATCTGAAAACAAACTGGACAGTGCATGAGATGAGACTAAATACTAGCTTACCACACCAAATTTTTGCACCTGAACAAATGGTTAGAAGCCACTTTCAAGAAAAAAGGTGATACAGTGGAATATAATAAATACAATGACAAATTTTCTAAGCTAGTGTTCATATCTGTCTTATGGGTTATGTGGACTTGTGAGCATGTACCAATGTTTCAGGAACACTGGTACCCATCTGCAAGCCCATGTTGCACCACACTTCAGAATACTGCCATGACATCTTCAATACTGTGAGAAACTCAAATCTCATTTATAAGCCTATTATTGACATTGTGGCATTGATGACTTTACCTTGGAGCTGCGTAATGAGGAGAGCCTGTGAGTAGCAGTGTGGCATGCGGTGTCCAGAGTGTCAATGTCAGCAAGCGTAGATCGAACCTTACGAAGCTGCTCTGTCACAATCGTTTCAATGCACTGTGTCTGACGACCAATATCATGCAAAGAATCCTGGGCTGGTACAATCTTGTTGGTCCTCAAAATGCATGGTGCAAACACAATGGCCAGTGCACTTGCATTCATGCGATTAGCATCCTCATGTAATGCCACCCTAAATTAAGGATGGAACAGTACATCAGCCTACATTCCTACAGTACAGCATATTGTGTAAATTTTCCAGCACCTGTGCTACCTACTATATGAAAATCAGAAATTCAACATTCCTGATATCTTATAGCATACTGTGAAGTTTTAGCAGTAAGAATCCCTAAGTTAATTACAAACTTTATATTAAAGGAAAAGATTTCAACATCTGAACAGACAAGTGTAATACAGGTTTCACAATTTAAATCTGTAACATAACTTCATTCACTTGTAATTGGACAAAATGTGTCTTGATTAGATGGATATACATTCAAGTTTATCTTCTGCCAGTTGTAGTACCACATGCTACCACTGTCAGCATTCTGGTAGTACAAAGCATTTACTGGTGCTGAGCAAGCACACTCTGTATACAATATGGCAAAGATTCACACCTGGCATAGTGATCTTGCTGAAATATTGTGTTACATTAGTCACACAAAGAAATGAAGCGGACCAGCCGCGAGTGAAGAAAAAAGTGTATGAACAGATGAAGATGCAAGCATCTTCAAGCCCTAGCAAGTCAGTGCACCTATAGATTTTCATGCAGATGTACCTAAATTAATTTCTAAACAACCAGTTTTTTGATCAGTGGATTGATCCAGGTAGCCAACTGCATGGTCTCTCCAGTCACCTGGTCTAATGCTGATGAACTTTATAGCGATTTATTAAACATAAAATGTTCAAGACACCTTAACCAAGAAATGTGAATGGCTTAAATAACAAGATCACTGAAGTCATAACAGACATGCCTGAAATGCTATGTGTACTTGTGTATGGGAAGAGCATACTGATTGGGTGTCTGTCATGTCACAGCTGGCAGCAACACTGAAATGCTGTTACCACTGTAACTCTGTGTGTCTGGCTGCTGCTGTTGTTATTGTTACTATCATCAGGCTATGTAATCAGTAATTCTATATGCCTTGAAAGATGAAATGCTATTCTGTACTCACTTTGTACAAACTTCTTAAACACACCAGTTTTAAAAGGTAGTTTGTTTATTTATTTATTTATTTTATACAGTTACCCAAACTGTGAGATGACCATTCACAAAACTGAAGGTTATCTTAAATTTCCACATAAAGGAAGTTTCTTCCAAGGCCAATGTTTCGCTTCTGCAGAAGTACACAGTCAACACAGGTACTTCAGTGCAATAGCTCATTTTGTTTTCTAGTATGACACTTCATTATCAAATGCAGTAAATAATAAACAGTACTAAAGCTCATAATACAGACTGGTGTACATATATTCCCTTTGCTCAATTAAATTATAAATTAATACATGATTATGATGGCATAAATTTTAATTCAGGGAGAATTTAGATTAGCAGGAAGAGGGAAGACAAATTTTACCAATTAAGTTTTGTAGTCAGTGCAACAAAAACATACTAATAAAAACACAGAAACTTTCAACACTAAAACTAGAAGACTATGATTAAAAGCAATAAAGGTAAGCAAAATGAAGAATGAATTAACAGAGTGTAGCTGTGCAAAGTATTATACTGTACCATCAAGCAAATGTGCATATTTATTAGTACTACAACTTTGGCTTTCAGGAATAAGCTGTGCCAAATGCTGAAAATTATCTAACATTTCAGCAAACATAGAAGTTGTCATCTTCAGGGTGATATGTAATAGTTCAGCATTTTGGTAGCCTTTCATAAAGCAAGAAGTAGTCGGAGAGTTAGATTTGACAGAAGCAACTGGTGTAGCAGAAAAGTGGGTTGTTATCTAACAGGAGACAAGAAACTCGGCCATTAAATATTCACCCTGAAGATGACAAATGCAATGTTTGACAAAATGTTGGGTAATTTTCAACACCAGATGCAATTCATCCCCAAAAGCTGAAGTCATTCACTAAATTCCAGCTGCAAAACCTAAGGACAAGAATATATTGCACATTCTAGTATTTTCCTTTTGCAATTTCAAGCTTCTAAATGTAGCATGTATTCAATTCAGGTAAGAATAGAGACACAATATTTTACCACACGACATCCACACCAATTAGAAGATAAAGCATCCTCAAGAGCCAACAAAGTCGTTATTGGTATTTAAGCAGTCAACTGCCAGAAATTAAATTAATCCACAGTGAAGAACCCAGGTAATTCATAGTTCATATTCATTTACCGGTTCCAAGAATTAATGAAATACTCTACAACCAAGACCAAATAGGACTACTATAGTACAGTTCCAAAGTAATGTATTCAATTATAAACATTCAAATTCTTTAAAACTATCCACTGTGCTGACAAAATTTGATTTAAATAATTATTCTGAACAAGTCTTTTACAAAATCCCAATCACTCATACCATAAAAAGTGCTTATATGTGAAAATTATAATGTTGAAAAGGGAGAAAAATTATCACAGCAAAATCAAAATTACCAACAGCTGGAACGACAAATATTTCATTCCACTGAGAACTTAATCAGTGATAAAGTCTTTGCACAAAATGTGGAATCTTGTTTCTACAGCCTAAATTATTTCTCAATAAGAAAATATACTTTATCTTCTGTGCTTCTACTTGGCCTTTCATAACTACCAAATATCATATGTATGTACATTAACAGCTACTATATTGTATAACATGTACGCTTTAACAACCAATATCCACACACTCTTGAGATACTTACAACTACTAAAAACTGAATTCCAAGTGCTGAGAGCTTATACTAAATCACAGAAAGAGGAACACAAACACAAAACAATGAGCAATGTTATATTAACTGTACACAAGAAACCACTAACCTGGCTAGATGGAAGATCAGCCTTTCCATAAGATCAAAATTAGGTTTGGGAAGTTTCTTGAGAATAGTGAACAGTGTAGAGACTCTATCCTGAGGATCTGTCAGATTCGCTGCTCTGAGGAAGTCCTCATAACTGTCAAATGTTAGTAGAGGTTCAGACATATCACGGAAGAAGCTCTTAAGGACAGCTGCCAGTACATGAACCTGATAGTTCTCAAAATTGACACCTTCTACATTCCCTTCTTCCATTCGAAATTTCAGTTCCTTTACTTTGGAGCTTACCTAAAAAAAATAGATACTTTATAGGCATATGGACCAAATTTGTTGCATGTGATAACTTACAAAGTATTTATCAATAACATTACAAACATACCAAACATTCATCTACTGCATGTGTGATCAACAAATTTTGGGTGAATTACACATGACTGTCACTGTGCAAAGGTGGCATAAAAATCACATTTGCAAGCTTCATATGTGAGCAAATGGAGTTGGACACAATTTTTTTCGAACAGTTGGCTGTTCACAGATGAAATGGGATTCCACATCAGTGGTAAGGTGAACGTCATCACATGGGGCACTGAAATTCCCATGTCATTCACAAACTTGAAAATAGCAAGTCCCAAGGTTAATGTCTGTGTAGAGTGACTCAAACATGGTATATGGCCTCTTTTTCTTCACTGAGGAGACAGTATGTTGGGGTCCATACCTCGATATGTTGCAACTATTCCTCATGCCACAACCACGATAGGAAAATATTAATAACATGGTTGTTTTCCAGCAAGATGGAGAACTGACACACTCATTTACAGAAGCCTGTGATTTCCGGAATGACATGTTCATTGACAACTGGAGTGGTCATGGTGGGCCCATTGCTTGGCCTCCAAATTCACTGGAATGAATGCCACCCACTACTATGTGTGGGGGTTTGTGAAGAACACTGTGTATGCTCACTGACCTCACGAAGACAAACATTGACACATTTTCACACAAATCATGGTGGCAATGGTAAACCACATATGAGAAGAACTGGCCTCCTGTGATGAACTCTACTGTATCCAAATCAAATCAAATTCTTTGATCTCTGTAGGCAATGTGTGCCAAATATTGATTTACAAAAGATGTTTCCACTTCACAGCATGTTAATTTTATTCATACGCAAATGCATCAGCCAGTATTTAGAAAAAGGGGAGGATGAGTTTTAAGCTTATTCTATGGCCTGCAATGGTTTTGTGACAAAAACAGTAAGTCAAATGTAAAATAGACTTTTACTATTATAGTGATCATGGGCAAAGCACCGATACTTACTCCTGACTTTCTGTAAATGCCCTCAGTGTAGAGACCATACATCTCTATTGTAGTAATGAGCCTGTCCACCACAATGGGCACTTTGCCATCACCAACTGCCAACTGGTGCAGAGGAACACCAAACACGCGTGATCCTTCCTGGTTAGAGCTTCCCACTGCATCCTTCCCACACATCACTGTCACCTTTGAATAACACTTTTTATGACATGTTAGCTTGCAATCTGTAAAACACATCATCATCACAAATTAGATATTATAACATAGTACACTATGTAAGGAGTGGAAAACAATTACATTATTTTGTCACCAGTCTATTTCCTCGTCTTCCTGTTGGCAAATGGGGGCTGCCCAATGGTTAAAATTCTGCTAACTCACAGTGATTCAGTGATGATGATAGCAACCAGAGGACTTACATACAGAGCCTGGTATTACATAAAAAATCTATGAAACCAGTAACTTCAATCACCCAAAATAAATTTTATCTTCCACTGTGCAAATTATTGTGATGATGCATTCAATTAAATTAATAAACTTTGCTCCTACAGTTAAGTTTTCACTCATGCCAATTAAAACATTTAAAATTCTAAACTGTAAGACTCAAACCCTTATTTGGTACACGGCAACTTCATTCCTGACATATTCTGGCAGTCTGATGTTCTGAAATATCTGAACAGTTTGACATAAATAGCAATCAATCTACACTAACTTTCTGGACTAAATACGACATTCAAAAATTTACATATTTCACTCTACTATGTTCCTTCTGCCTCATACTACACATTGAGATTAAGGGGTAACATATGACAAACTTTACAAATGTGTACGAAACATGGATATGGAAACTAATTCTGACTGTGTTATTGCAGAAAAGTTCAGTTAAACAGAACATAAATTAGCCAGAAACTCATGAAAGAGCAGAACTTGTGACCTTATACACAGCTTCATGTGGGATAAAAAGATACTCATTTTTTAAAATATGATTTATAAACTGTTAATGATGGTTTTCTGCATTTTAACAAAGTGTTGACTCAGGGACCATTATTTCAGACAAACATACTGTCTCCAACTTCAGGGTCACTTCCGCCATGAAGGACAATGTGGTATTGTCTTCTGAAACGTTGGTATCAACCTAAAAGACCACACAGTGTTACACCCACAAGACCAACGTCTTCACCACTGACAACTTCAAATCTGATATATAAATTGTTAAATTCACCTAATAATTTTGAGCTATAGATGCAATACTGTGTTAAATTACCATATTTATCTGACTATAAATGCAAATGTAGATTGTGGTCATCTAAGTTGTGATGCTGTATAGTCTTGTAGTCTTGTACGTATTCACAAATGTTCCTCCATTTCTCCAAAAGGATAGTAAGCACCTACAAGACTGCATGAAATCATAGTCCAGAAGGCCACAACCTACATTTACACTGCCATGAAAACCTCAGAAAACATTTGTTGTATTACATCTTTTTCTTTGTGAATATCAGATAACCCAATATATTTTTCATGAGCTAACCAGGATGGCAGTTGTTATTCCTTAATTACAAATAAGGTCACAAATACTTTTGGTTGAATTTGTAGTAGGAAAATGTTATTGTACATTTACTTACTTTGGCAGACAAGGCCTCTTTCTATAGGCCACATGAAGAACGATGTGCAAATTTCACATGCTGTTGGGATGTTAATAATTGTGAGGAGAAATGTGTGTCCTGCATATGCTATTGGATCTTCAATCTTGCGCTTCTTTTCCTTCTTTCGCTTTGCCTTGTTAGGTTTTTCCTCAAGGCGATTCCGGTTCATGAATTCATTCATAAAGCCTCGGAAAGCATTTACACCCATAGTAACGGGAAAATCTTCGCGAGTCTGTTCCTGATTACACACAGTTTCCATCACCTGCAGAAAAACAATGGCTGTCATTTTGAAACTTTCAATATCAAGCAGATGTTGAAATATTCAACAATAAGGATCCACAATCCAGTACTGAATGTCAGATTCTTGAATCATTAAAGTATAACTGAACACCAAAAACATATGAAAGAAAACAAGAAACACAGAAGATGGTGTTTAATATCTGTAACTACTTCATTATAGAATGGTACTTATGCTGTTTCATCAGTAATTACCATGTACCTTCCTCCTCACCAGCAAATATTCCACATTTTTTAACAATATGGTGCATGTAGAGAATCAGTAGAAACAATAAAGACCAGACAAAATAATATTCTCTGCTCATTCAACATTATTTTGTTCCTGAGAACCTTCTCCAGCTGGTCAGTTATAGCAAAAATAAATGGCAAGAAAGAATATGGCCCCTCACATTTCCAGAAAATACAGAAATAAGTTACTACATATTTCTATAAAAATCAAGTTTCCTTATTTGACATGCCACAGACTCATGCTATAATAAGTTACCACAAAATATTTCCCTTCCACACTATGAAGTACAAAAGCAGCAAAAAAGATCTACAGATTAAAATAAATGTTCCCTCCAACTGTCAAACTGTGTTACTGTATTTGCTCAATTTTAAGACGCCATCCACTGAAAGATGCACCCTTTATTTAGTAGTAGGTTTTCAGGAAAAATAGATGCTATATCAATTCTCAGACACAATTCAATGCAAGATGTACCCAAATTTCATAAACTTTAAAATGTGAGAAGCATGTTCTTTAAAATCAAGGAAATATATTATTATTTTATTTCATATTCCCAGACTGTTTTTTGCAACATTAATTCCTTTTCATTTATTTCTTCTCCTGTCAAGTTTCTATTGTACCTTGGTTATGTAGCACATAAACTAAGTGAGATTCTTATTTAATGTTTCCCTGAGGACAATCACAGTTAATGGAGGAAATAATTTAAAGCTGATATTATTAACATGACATTATTGATGATGGCTGTTCACATGGGAAAATCTAAGACAGAACAATAAAGTGTGTATTTTTTCTTCTTCTTCCTATCACTGCAGAAGAAAAATCCTGAGTTTCCAAAACAACTTCTCTCTTGTTGGCCAGAATTTGTTCAATACTACATCAAAGCTTCCTCCACGCACTTGTATCTCCCACCATTTAGCTCATATTTTACCACTTCCATCTTTTTTACGTCTGTGCAACTACCATGTTTGTGCTGATCACAGACAAAAAAACATAAAAGAAAGACATCTGACACACCCTTCATGCCAAGTATGATGACAAATGTTTACTTGTTAAAACATATAAAAGAGGGAATAAATAGATGTGACTAAACTATGGATTTCATTCTCACTTTAAGGAAACAAAGTCACTAATGAATTAATGGTTCCAAAATTCATAACACTGCAGTGGGACTCACATGCAAAAAGTTTGCAATGAGATCCTTGTATTTTATGTTCAGTCCCTCAGCACCCTGTTTATTCATGACACTGTATGTTGCTACAAGATTATCCTTGAACTCCCTCAGAGCCTGTTTAAACACTCGGTCCACTTCACTAGGCTTCTTGCCCTCCTCACTCTCAATCTTGTAGATCTGTAATTACAAAAGTACAAGTATCAATCACATATACATAGCAAGTGTACAAAAGGAATATTTAATTTATACAGGGCTGTAATCAGCTGCAATGACAACTGATCCACAGTGCCCTACTATACAACACTATAGAACAATGTACACGTACTATGTTCATACATTTTTAATATCATGTATCTTTCTTCAGTATTCACAGAAGGCAATATATTTAATGACAGACTATTGTCTCATTAAACAGCAAATAACATGCAGTAAACACATATTAATACTCTATAGTACAATACAATTTCGCTGAACTCAAAGGCTCATATTCAAAATGCTACATCCTACAAATTAAAATATGAGAATTTTAAAGTGCATTATGGTATATACAAATCCAATTTCTGTATTTGACATATTTTATAACTTGCCTTTTGTGTGATAAAGTCTTGCATAAACTGTAACTCCGTAGCATCTGATATTATCTTGTCTGTGCTGTCTGTAAACTCTGAGGTTCCAGTGAGATTGAATTTGCTACCTGGTGCAGGTTTCACCAAATCATGTTGTGTTCGTGAACTCTTATATTTATTCCTACGTACAGATGGTGCTGACTGCTGTTGCTGACATGGAATACGTAAAATTCCTCCATTCTGGATACACTTTGTATGGAATAACTGCTTGCAGTCTAGGAAAGTTCAAACATTATGTCAGATTTTGTTTGTGCCACTTAATGACGACAGGAGTAAAAGTCATAGTAAGGCTGTAATAACACTTCATATAAACAATGGTACAGAGATTTTATATTTATCAGTGTTAAATTAACTGTTGTGAAGACATAAATAATTATAATGGAGGACACTCCTGCCAGGTCTAATGATAAAACAACTAAGTCAAGTATTTCACACATTTTGATGGTGATGATAAGTGATGCAGATTCTGGTACAAATCAAACACAACCTTCAGTAGGCCTTTTCAAAGTTTCATTTCAGATTATCAGAAGTCACACTTTGGGAATCTTGACCTTGGGATGACTGAAAAACAACTTGTAAGCAGTAAACATAATACAGTACATTTCCAGGTATTCATTTCTTGTAATGTGAGGGTAACTATCTGGTACAGTTAATTTCTTCCTAAATGAATATCCCTTCCCTAAATTTAAAAAAAATTAATATCTGCAAGTGTATAAATGATAAGGCCTCAATTACCATTCCAAGCCTGTGTAGAAATGGGTGTTCCCTCTCTGCCAGTCATCAAATCAACATCCTATCATCAGCAATAGCAAAGCCCACTTAACAGGTACTCCCACTTCAGAAACAGACTTTCTGACCACTGACAAGTTGGAGAGAGCAAATGAGGGTCAAGAAGTCCACAAGGCATTAGATTTAGTGCCAACAAAGTTGAAGTTACAAATATTGAAGAAACGCAAATAAGTGACCAATCTGTATGAAATAAAAGTAGATTGAAGACAACATGTTAAAAGAGTATGCTAATACTCCCTTTCCACAGAATACAGCATTGTGTGAATATGAATCTTGGAATACTTATTATGTAACGAATGGCACCCAACAAACTTAAAAGAAGAGAGAGAATGGACAGGAATCCATATCATAAGAAATACTCAGATATGTAATAGAGATTTATTTTCACATTTATTAAATCTGAAATGGAAACTAGTAAAAGTGAGTAACTGAAAGTTGTGTACTATCCCAGCAACTGGTCATAAGGACCAAAGATACCTGCATATAATTCTATAAGCTACTACCAATTCATAACTTCTTATCAGCGCATCACATCCAGCTCAGTGTGACTTAGAGAAAAATTTTGATTATTTAAGTTTATTTATTTATTATTATCATCTTTATTTGTATACTATTCAAAGATGCTGCATCAATTAGAATTCATGCAGTGTTAGAATGAAAATATTGTTACATACAGTAAAATGGAAAGCTTGAGAAAGGAATAGAGTGATTTCAATATCAGGCATTTCTGCAATGAAGTTTCAAAAATGTGACCATTAGCACATGTCTATTTATCTGTTGCATTTAACAACTTATTTGTAACTTATCTCTACTTTATGTGAACCCTTTGTTTGTATTTTGTGACATTTACATAATAGTATGACTTGTATTTGTATAACATGTATTGTATTATTATGACTTATTCTACATCCGATTGTCATCTGATAACTTATGGATCCATGGAATGTAATACAGATGTATGTATGTAAATTGTGGATTTTCAGTAAGAGGCAAAAAGGGAATGAATGTGCCAAAATCATTATTCTATGCATTCATTTACTAACTTATTATTGTGCTACTCTGCCATACGTCTGAATGTATCGATGGAAACAACAACAAAAATAAAAACCTCATTAGATAAAACATGCCCAAACTGAGATTTGAATACTAATTTATGAAAACTTTACCTAGGATCTTTCACCTCTGGAGTGAAAAAATTGGTATTATCCTGAATGCAAATGAAGTATAAAATATTTAGAATTCTGGTACTTTTATACTTAACCAAGATATGGACAGGTAATGACAGCTTACAAGGACAAACCAGTCAAGTAAACATGTAATTTCCTCTTACCAGAACACTTGTGTCCTTGAGTGACAAAGGCATCCATTGGTTTATCACAGGAGATGCATTTATCTTCTTTGGAAAACCTTGCCACTTTTCTGAACCTGTGGCCTGCAATTGTGAACATAGTTCCTTTCCACTCCAGTACATCCGACACTTTAGTAGGAGTATCCATTCCAGATGGCTGGCCTGTTATTAATAATCCACACTTTGTGGCTGGATCACTGTTTCTTCGCTTCAACTCCAAGGACGTTATAGCACCACTTCTACTCCTCTTGGTAGCTACTGAATGGATCTGAAGCCCTGACTTGATATATGTTGAATTATCCAAATCTGGTGAGGATTCTGCTTCTTGTGAAGATGACAGGCGGCCAGCATATGAACTCTCACTGCCGTCACTAGACCGTGGTGCTTTTCTTGATGCCCACATCTATGATCACACACACTTTTAACTATTTAACAACAGATTCTCCAGGTACTAAAAGAAATCAAGAAGACAAGAAAGATCTGGCAAAAAATAAAAAGAAGAAAGACTGTGGAGGAATAAAATGGGAAAATATAAATAAAAAAGTTAACATAAAATACACAACAGACACATTTTTTGGACTAATTTCCATTCTCAAGAAACGAAAATAGGCTTATGTGATTGCCATCCTGTCTCTGCACATGCATGCACGCAAACATGAAAGTTGTGAGCAACATTAACACCATTTAATACAGGATCCTGAAATTATGTAAGGTAATACATCTTTAAAATATTCAATATCTGTTAAGATAATTTTTTATAACAATAACATTATGGTTGTGTAAGCAGGAAAGTCTTCTTCACCAGATCATAAAAATAGATAATCCATGAGCACCTTTGCCTGAATCCAGA